GAGGTAAAACTATGCATGACGAAGCAGAGATTGCATGCCAAGATGAAAAAATTACAGGGAAACAAAATTAATAACATTCATATAAAGTTAAGTGAGGAATTGATGCCGGAGAATACTAAATTTCACTGATGTCTAACCTGTGTCTAATGCTTCGTTCATTAAGACAAACCTCAACTCACTTCTCACCCACTGTTAACATCTTGTTTTATTGTTACCTCCGCCAAGGAGGTTATGTTTTCACGCCTGTTTGTTTGTCTGTTTGTCTGTCATCAACATAACTCAAAAAGTTATGGACCGATTTTGATGAAATTTTCAGGAACTGTCAGAAGTGGACCAAGGTAGAAATGATAAGTTTTTGGTGGTGATCCGGATCAGTAATCAATCAGTAATCAATAATAATCAAAAATGCCTTGGCGGAGGACTGCGCTCTCGGAGTGCTTTTCTAGTTTTTTGTAGGCATTGAAAAAAAGCTTTATCCTCACATATTTCTTTGTATAACTTCTTCTTCTTACTGTTATATTCGGTTTGATTATATCTTTAAAACTTTGAAAATACAGTGGGCATTAAAGCAAACTGCAATCACACGCATTACTACACCAAACCCCAAAAGCCCTCACGCTCTCCTAGACGCGGTTTCCTGTTTCATACTGCAAGTCTGTAAAGACACGAGGATAAACACGCTGAAGACGGCGCTGTCCCCAAGACACTACTAATCATTCCAGCGTCCTTAAAAAAATTCTTGAAACCGTGCACGTCATACAATCATGTAATGTCAACCTCTTAACCAACCCCTTTGAGCTTAATTAGTTTTACATTAGTGAAAATATATCGTAAGACGAACTAATTAGTTCTAATGGGGATGCTGAGCAGCAATTGCGAGGAAAGCAAAGAAACACAGAAACCTTTTAAGAAGAAGTCGATCCTTATTAGGAGTTCGACAAATTCATTTTCTAGATCTTATTTTGATTTTCGGTTAGCGCAAAAAATAACGTATCATCTTTGAATTACAAGGGCATCCGTTATAAATATTNTTAGTTCTAATGGGGATGCTGAGCAGCAATTGCGAGGAAAGCAAAGAAACACAGAAACCTTTTAAGAAGAAGTCGATCCTTATTAGGAGTTCGACAAATTCATTTTCTAGATCTTATTTTGATTTCCGGTTAGCGCAAAAAATAACGTATCATCTTTGAATTACAAGAGCATCCGTTATAAATATTGTTTGTTTTTTTTTTTTTGTGACAACGTTATAATCTGGCTTTGATATCGAAGCTCGATATATTTTGCTAACTTATTATCTAGCTATTACAAACAGACTCAGAATATACCAACACCAATGAAAACATGGAACAGGAAGGAAAGCTAGAAGACTGCAGCAGGTGCTTGGCCCTGTTCCCTCGGGCTAGGGTTGATTTTCTGCGATTGCGTGACAACAGCACATTTCTGGGCCTGACATGTAATTTTTTGCCGGGAGATAGCAAAATTGTCACAGCAAAATATGTTTTTTTGCTTGTTTAGTTTTGTCATGATGGAGATGAAAAAGTAAAAGATTTTACATACAAAACATTCAACAGATTCAACGCTTGTTTCTGCTTAAAGGTGCATGGCGTTTCGTCACTAAGGTAGCTAACTTTCGGAGCTTAATCAGTATCGCGTAAAACAATTATATCCACCATCCCCTGTCCAGCCCCGGTAGTCAGCCATATTGACACAGATTGAAAATAAAGCGGGTCACGGCGAGTCTCGCGATAACTCGAGTCATGGAATGGTGTATCTGCAAAAAACTGCTCTAAAGCACGTTTTTTTTTTATATTTTACTTTCTCCAAAATTTTACAGAGCTATGGCCAGTTTCAGATAAGGAAGATTAATGGTTGGTTATGCGGGAGAAAATGCCGTTTGCCCCGTAAAAATTCGTTAAATATGAGTATTTTTTTGGAAAATCCTGGCTTGGAAGACTTGAACATGCGTTTGTCTGGACGTCCAGTTGCCACCATAATTCGTATTATTAATCTGATCTGTAAACAGGCCAAACGACCAAACAAATATAAAATAACGAGCGCTTTCTGCCAGAAACCTTATTCTAGGCGTAGAAACAAAGAAAGCCAATGAAATACTGCTTCTAGAATACATCATAAATTGGTACTGGAGTGAATGTCACATAAAATGAAATCGTAATGGAAGGAGACTTAGGCCCCATTCAGAAGAGGGGGCTAACTAGTCCGAGGGTCAAATATGGCGACCCACTACAAAGATTGTCGTCTAATCCGTTAATAAACACTGAATAGATATCTCGTGGAGAAGTATTCAAGTGGGTCGGCCATATTTGACCCTCGGACTAGTTAGTACCCTTTTCTGAATAATGGGGCCTTTGTCGAGATATTAAGAAACAGAAAGCCACGGGAACACTCCATATAGTCAGTGTGGCGTCAATCTGATATAAAAACAATATCAGATTGGTTAACACATGGGGCGTATCTCTAGGAATGGGAATATTCTCCTCTATAATCCGTTTATTTATCAATGAATACAATTCCCCTCAGATCTTCAGCTTATAATCTTATTTACTTTCCAACTTATGGCGCTGAATATAGGATGTTTGGAATTTAACTTGACCTTAACACGATTTAGTTTGTCACAGGCTTGGAATACATATTTGATTCGGAGAAAAAAGAAGAGTGAATTGATCAGTGTAATGTACCGTACGATATTGATTTTTCATGAAAAAACTTTTTTGTCTTTGTTTTTCAATTCACAGAAAAGACACATGTCAAGCACAGCATTGCGATTTGCAGTTTTTTCTTGGCAGTAGCAATAGAACGGGTTATTTAGTACGAGCTTCAGGGATTGGTTTCTATTTGGATCTCGTTTTAATCGCCTCCTCTTTCATTTAATCCCTGGTATATTAAGAGAATAGATCGAGCCAGTTACTCTAGGAGGGGGAATCAGTGCACTAGCCCCGGATTGATTTTTAGTTCGTAAATGAGTTTGTACTGACAATACATGACGTCTGTTTACTTCCAGATCGGAAGAGCGCAGAGGAGATTATAGATCGCCCCTTGGAATAAGCTCTGCTCCCCTCCATTGGTGCCGTCAACCAGCGATGGATCAACGGCAATAATTCGGCGTTGCACAGGATTAGTCTAAAAGGAGGGAGAGGAGAAGAATTATGCTCGGGTGGGAAAAGTTATTGCTCTAAGGGAATCGCATCTGGGAGGATTACTAGACTGAAAGAAAGAGGTAAAGTGCATTTTTCTCGTTGACCGTGTTTCCATACTTACACGCGATATATGCATACTGAAAGTGAAAGCGTGCGCGTTTTCGTGTGAGCGAATGTGTAAGAGAGTGCGAGTGCGCGTGCGTGTGAATGTTGGTATGTCTGTGCTAGCTCTCGTTCAGCACATGCGTGCGCAAGTCAAAAAGGGCGTCGAACTCGAAAAGTACAAACGCTCTGTGCGCCTGACCTGTTACTAAATTACATAATCAAAAACAAATTACTCGGTGGCGGCAATTTCCTCGGCGTTATTTTCCTTTGACTTGTACGCACATCTATAGACCTACTTCAAAATAAGTGTAATCAAAATGAAATTAGGCATAACACATCCCTTTATAAATTGATCGAATAAAAACTACGACCCATTAATATCATAATGGACATTACTTATTGAGTTACGCATCGACAGAAGCAATGTTGAGTCGACTCTCTGTAGACTTGAAGCCGGGGGGAAGTAATAGCATTTCTTTTTAGCTTATGGTTATGTGAAGTCAGTAATTCGTTATTCTGGAAGTCATGCTAGATAAACTGGAATCGAAGTTTTAGTTGTAGTTGTGAGACCCAGTGGGAAAACAGCGTCTCGTACGTACAGCTAAAGCATCCTCCGAGCGGTATGGCAGACACGGTAAGTTCTCCTTGAGAGGATATGGATATTCATCTTTGATGTTTGAACCAGGTGAATCTTGTGAAAATATGCAAATCTGATGAGTAATAAGATCGTGTTAAAAAGAAAAACAGTATGATGAAATGTATTAAAGAATGCATTAGAAGTCAAAATTTTGCTGCAAAAGCCGACCAAATGCCACCAATTTCAAATAATATGACCAAGAGAAATACAAAAGGAAATTGTTTCATATTACCCGAAAAAGTGATATTTGAACGGATATTTTCTGCTTGCTTTGTGTGCTGTATATAACTGGGACAGATAAGTGGGTCAGATAAACAGCTCAATTAATGACCAAAACTTTGAAGAAGGTGCAGTTTCAAAGCTATTTTATGGCTGAATGAGTGACGAATTCGGTTCATCCTTTGGTATGTTGACTTTATTATGGGTCAGGTGTTTGAGACCATGAGACAAAAGCTTTGTGAAATAAGACGAAACAAAGCGAAGAACAAGAGGTTTTTTTTTAGTTCATAGATAGCGACAGCACCTTGGACTTTCATTTTACGTAAGAACGCTTAGGATAAGGTATAAAACCATAGATCGCCTCTTGAACTTCAAAAATGAGGTTCACTTTCATTTTCATCCACCAGCCAAGCTGCCAGTCGCACAGTTCCTCTGGATTTGATTCTGTTCATTCGTAGGTAGTCAAATGCTGCAGATTGGTTCTTTGTTAGATTTGATGTTGGTTCTTACATAATAATGTAGTATTTATAAAAGTACAAATGCACCGTCGGTGAATGTAATTGTGTTCATTAGTAGAACACAAGTGGTTGAATTACGTCAAAAACTTGACCCACATGTAACGAGGTGCATTCATGGCTTTGATGAAGGAAGTATTACGTAAGGGATTACATACAAAGGTTTCAGACCACACGGATCAAAGCGTTAACAGATTTTTTTGAAGACAAAAATGTGTTAGCTCTTAGCTTTCATTTGCATATGATATAATACATATATATAGATTCTTTGCCCATCCAGTATTTCACTTCAGACTGAATGGCATTAACTCACGTTATTAAAACAGGCAACGTGCTTCTTGTCAGTTTTGATATACATCGTGATGGAAACTAACTTTCGTTAAGGTGCTGCGTACAGACCATGAGGAATATCAGAAAGCAGCTGCATGTACGTATTTTGTCAGTCTAAGAGCAAGGCTAAATTTTTGACCGAAACTTATTCTAAACTTAAGATTGAGAGCTAGTATACATTTTAGACCTAGATACAGTCTAAACTTTAGATCGAGAACTAGGCTAAACTTAAGATGGAGAGCAAGTCTAAATTTTAGACCGAGAGTAAGTCTAAACGTAAGACCGATACTAAGTCTAAATTTTAAGGTTTAAATTAACTCTAAGTCTAAATTAAGACTTAGAGTTAATATAAACCTTAGACCGGAATTTTTTCTCCTCCGTGATCCAAGTGAAATGTATAGACATCCACGTAAATAGAAAATAGTGCGTGTTTTATATAAAAAAAAAGAGACAGAAGCTGGTTGCTTTATATAATGAAGAACGATTTTGTGAAAATTAGAGTAATATAACTAATATAGAAATAACTGAAATGTATCGCCCATCACTCACCGTGCAGCAGTTGCTTATAGATGCTTACTTTTAAGTCTAAAACAATAGAGCCAAACTAGTGCTTCAAGACTTTCTTCGGAGGTGTATAAAAGGATTTGCAGTCATATGCACCAAAAGCAGGTGCGTGCTGAAGAATCCTTAAGAAAGCGCCATTGCCAAGTAACATCTTATTACTTATTACCGAAGATAAATTGGTTCTCCTGTAGACTGATATCAGAACAGAGATTCTGACTGGCAGAATTCCAATTAGATCATTTACTAATTACCTTTTAAACCTCACATTGTCATCATACCGGTATTTAAAACTTTCAATGACAAGTGATTGAGCGTTCCAGTTGATATATGTCGTAGCAATCTGGATGAGTTGTGACTGTTGAAGCTTTGAGACATTGTCCAGAATGATTAATGTTCCGATTGCAATTTTAAATTCAAAAAGGAAAATCGCCTATGTCACTCTGGAACATTCATCAACGCTCTCCTGAGAGACAACTAGCAAATGTTACGATCTAGTTTATGATGGGCATTTAATTAATGGCTTATCAAACGCACAATGACAGACAAAAAGTATGGACTTCATACGTCTCAGACAGGAAATTATGATTCTAGAAACTTGCGAGATAAAGCGCTTAAGATAACAGATAGATCTCGGTTATTTAGCAGAGTGGCAAAACATGCAGTCTTTGTCTTCAGTCGACGGTGTACTAAAATGATACACGCTCACAATGTGTAGCTCTAAGCAAAGGTAATGACTCGAGGTTTCCGTATCCAATACATTGGTCTGCCTTACTTGAACATTTCATAAATAAATTGGTAATCGACAGAACAGAGCACTTTGACATTTTCGATGTATGGCTTTGAAGACATAAAGCTCTATGCTGTTAACATTTTCTGATTGTCCATGCTACCTGTTACACATAATGAAAATTGATGGTGACAATGTTGAGAAGAATTTTGTAATATTGCATCAAATTGACAAAATAACATAGTTTGCAAATTAATTTTTGCTTCGAAGTCTTTACATTTGACAACTTTGCTGTCTTGTTAACTTTTTGTGGTGCAACTATTTAAAAAGTATGGGGAAATTTAGGGCATTTACATGTTCTTTTTGGATCTCAGAGCAGTACCCTTTTCAATTTTTTTTTTTTGTAGAAAACGGGTTCCCCTCCGGCTCCCCATGTATCAGCATTTGGTGTTGTTCTGCAATAATATAAAGGACACGTAATCAAGAAAAAAATTTTTAATCATAATTATAGGTCTACCTGAGTTTATGTTACTCACATTACCAATTCCTATTTACTCAGTGTAATATTAATTTCAGCTTGTTCTTCTTACTAGGAGATGTTGTCCTTATTGAATTTCTAATAGTTTGACGGGGCTGGGAGATCGCGGCTTCACCAGTGAATGGCATTTGAGTGTGTGCTAGCAGTAAAAATATGAGAAACTGATACAGACAAGTGAAAAAAAATGAGATCAAATAACTCATGACTCATTAGTTGTTGACAGAGTGGATTTACACCGCTAATCATGCGTGTTACAGAGGATTCAGAAAGTGTTGTAATACAATGAAAATTCACTGAAAGAGGAGAGACAGCGGCCCAGAGTGGCTGTGTGCTATTTAAATGACATGCAGTTAAAGAGATAATTTCACCGAAACATAATTGCCGTTTTTGTTGACATTTAAGGACACAGGTGTCGAATAGCTACTGTCTGATCGATTACCGGCGTGTTGATTTAAAGTGTCGGTCTCCATCATGTTACAGAGTGTTTGGAAAGTATTGGATTACATTTCAATAACGGAGTTTTCGCACCCACATGTATTCTCTTAAAGGCAATGTTTCAAACATTTATCAATAAAATTTACTTGTCCTGTGATGCATACGTAAAATATCAGATAGGTTTTCCAGCAAATTGATCGCTTTGTGTGTGTAGGAGTGTTAGGGTTTGTCTGTGTGTCTTGTGTGTGTATGTGTGTGTATGTGTGTGCGTGTGTGTGTGTGTGTGCATGTGTGTGTGTGTGCATGTGTGTGTGTGTGTGCGTGCGTGTGTGTATGTGTGTGTATGTGTGTGTGTGTGAGTGCATGTGTTGTGTGTGTATGTGTGTGTGTGTGCATGTGTGTGTGTGTGCGTGTGTGTGTATGTGTGTGTATGTGTGTGTGTGTGAGTGCATGTGTTGTGTGTTTGTATGTGTGTGTGTGTGTGTGTATGTGTGTGTCGTGTTAGTGTGTGTGTCGTCTGTGTTGTGTGTGTGAGTGTGTGTCGTGTGTGTACTTTTCTTTCGGATGATAATGATCAGTCCTTAAAATAATGTGCTGGTTGGGCTTGAGAGGGGGTGGGGTGGGGTGGTGGCGTATATCCGCCATTTTGACTTAGAAAAGGGAACTGGTCCCCTGGGCCATATTCAGTAATGGAGAGGTTGTAGCACTCACCAGACTACCGGAAATTAAACCTAATGATGTCATCGTATTAGTAGAGATTCATCAAGGAAGATAGAATTTCTCCATTATCTCGTTTTGTGCCGCCTTTCTTTTTATAGTGCCCATACAGCGTACACAAAACTGATCAGTGACGCAAGTCAACTGTTTTGCATATCAATTTAGTAAATTGTTTGAGGATGGCTATTACTCCAGATCACATCTATTTGGGAAGGAATTTACCAATTTCTATCATTTTCAGCACGTTTTTAATGTGGAATAACCCTACTGAACGAAGTGATGCGTTGCCTTGTGATCGTTCTATAATCGGCTTTAAATATTTTAAACGTTTTCACGGCGTTCTTACTTTTTATGGCCGAAACATATCATTATCTCGGCTTGCCAACAGCGACATGGGCGTTATCTGAGTGCAGCAACTATTTAAAACACAAAACTCAACTGAACGAGTCGTTTTGTAGTTGATATCTGCAACGCATTTGCGCTCATTTTAAAGTTTATTTGAAAGGTTGTAATAAACAAATGGCGCAATAATAACACTGTTGAATATTTGGTTTTCTTATTTTTGAAAAAAATGTCGTATAAGAGTGCCACCGGACTGTGTAATTGCATGTCACCTAGGGGAAATATTATGTGACTGTTGTTGTCTATTAGTTTATATTATATTATATGATCAATTTTTGCACGGCAATATATCTACGGAAAGAGAACCTACCTTAAAACACCGGGAAATGCTTCTCCATGTTTATAAACATTTACCATTGTATCATCACTATTGTATTTTTATGTTTTCTGTGTTGTGATGGGCGCCTCGGATGACAGTGCATTGTTAAGTCAATAAAACGTTCTATGTTATGGTGCTATAAACGTGTTTATGCCTGGCCATCTTCTCTCACTTCTGTGCAATTTTCCCATTTGTTTTCGTTCCTTATCGATATAATACTGGTCGCACGGAACGCATGTTTATATTCAATTATCATAATTAACTTTTCGTAAAGCATAATTGAAAAATCGAAATCATGCATGTGTCTTTATTATGATTATTCCATCTATTCATCACAGAATTAATTTAGGTTACGTTTTATTATGCGTTATTGCTCAGCGACACTGTATATTTCCCACAAGGGAGCGAATTCTTAAATCAGAAATTCACTCGATTGTGTTTTTCTTTAATTATGTTTCTTGATTATCTGGAGGCTCATTTGCCAAAGATAACAATGCACTCACATGACAGTGTTTTGTAATATCCAGAAGATGACAAATTACTGCCTTAATAAGTTTCTCATCAGTGAGATAATGACGATCTTTAACTCTTATTGCTTTTGAAATATGCACTTGTTCTTTTGATGTATCTTTGTGGGTAGTGCTTGACGTCGGTGCAGAAAATGAAAGCCACCGTTTTAGTCTAATTTTATTGTGAAAAAAATTCCATAAAAACAAAGGACATTGGTTGTCATCAGTTCACATGTAAATTAAGCAAGAAATGTTAGAATCAATTTTCCAGGAATCTAATTGTTTCCGCAGCTGAAATTTTCTTTGAATTAGTAAACCAATATGACACGTATCTCCCAGAACTTGGTGATGTTAGAACAGCACGACTAATTGGAAACGTGAGTTATATTTGGTGCTTGGTTGTCAGCCAACATCTGTGTCTCTGTTAACTAAACAACACTGATTATACAGTGATTGTGAGGAAGTAAGCAGGCATATAAAACCTGTATATGAATAAAAACAAGAAAGATAGATAAAGAAAAACTTATAAAAGCTTTATGCATGATGAGGCCAAGGGCCTTACCACATAGCCGACAGCGGGTGACAACATCTACTCGAATTAGTCTGACGAGGACCCCCTTCCATGTCTGCCGCGTGCTGACTGCTAGGGAAAATTCCAGCCTGTGTATATTGTGATAATCATATGATTCAACAACCAAGCTTATGAACGTTTTACTGATTAAAAAATGCTTTCACGCCGTGTCGTTACGTAAAGATAGATGTGATTAATTAAAAGTGTTTCCCAAGAAAGAACAATAAGTGTTATCTGTGGTGTAGCTAGAGTGAATGCAAAAGGCAGATTATAATATACCAGTCATAGCTGTTAAAACCAGATAAGGACATAATATGCGATTTTTATTGGGAAACTGCCGGAGATCTCCTGATAAAAATGTTCAGAAATGCGTGTTGTAACGTGCCTTTGGCACCGAAAGATTTAAGTTAATAACGACAGACAACTGCTCCGCGCAACAAATTTTGAAAACGTTCACCATGAAGTTGGCGTTTTTTTTTCTTTCCACATCAAGGCCTAAAACTTTAGAATATTAAGAATGTCTGTCAGCATTTTTGCTGGGAAAAGGTCCACTCTGGGTAAAAATTGATGTATATACTTGAGAATTTTAGAATTTTATGGTAAAAGGTCCACTTTTTCAGAAAACGAACCCCCCCCCCAATGAAATTTCTGGCTACGGGCCTGATAAAAGACGCCAGCGGCTGCACTTGCTACTGGAAAGCTCTGCCGTTTCTACTCCAAAGTCTCAGGTGTGACCAAATAAGCAGAGGAGCTGCGCATGCGCAGAACAGTCACCAAGCAAAGGCCGCCTATTGGTCGTTACAAAGTGATACGTTCTTTCAGTATTTACACTGAAGATCCACACTCCGATAAAATAATAGAATTATATTAATGACACGAACCGAATATATATATATATATTTTTTTGTTTTCTTGTCGATATCTACATGTACCATTTCTAGATTATTCTGCTTCTGTTTTCTATTCACTGATTTATATTCCTTTACTTTCCCTCCTTTCCTTCTTTCACCGTGATTACCTGTCGTTATAAGACTTCACAGGGAGAGAGCCCACTGATTCAACCGACAACCTCCCCTCACCTTCCTGTCACCTGAAGGAACACATGAAAGATTTCAAAAGCGAGATAGAATATCTAGCGATGCTTGTGGTCGTTTGCCTCTTTATGACCTTTTAGAGATGCTAAGGATTCAAAGCATTATTTTCCACCACATCTCTTTCTTTGTTCTATCCAAAGATATTGATATCTTTAAATTTTTGTGATTTCTTTCTCCGTGGATTGGGGGGGGGGGGGGCGGATCCAGAGATATTTTCTGACAGTCTTCCAAATAATCTTTGTTGATCCACCCATTTTTTACCGTCTTCCGACAGAAAAAAATAGATACCCGTCAATGTAAACTTTAAAATCTGACCGTCTTCCGGAAGACCCAGAAGACGGCCTCCGTCCGCCCCTGTCTCCGTGTCAGGGCCCCGTAGGCACGCCACATGCATAGAATTTCTATCACACGCAGATTAAATGGACAGCAGTGAAAAAGACAAAATGGGCGAATATTTGTCTCAAAGCATTGCACCAAAGAAATTCGAATTACGCAGTTCTTGTTATTAGATCTGAGCTTACGAAAGACAACTTTGCATTAAATTTGTTTTGTACTCCAATATACATCTAGATCAGAAACTGTATTGACGAAATGGAATCGGTTTCGTTTGGTTTGAACACTTGGGAGTTTCTTCTCTGCGGTGGTGAAATAACTCATTTAATGTGAAAAGTTCACCAGTTTGCAATAAACTTAAGTACCTATAAGCGTTCATGGCACGCTATGTAACTGCATAAATAAAGTATGCAACTGGAAATAAAATGAGAAAAACCATTTACAGCAGTTAATATGTTATCCCTAGTGCATTACTTCTGATCTAAATGACTGATATTAGAGCAGAGAGTAACTGCCCACATATAGCGAATATTAACTTCTCATATGTCAATGGGTTTACGCACTCCATGGTGTTAAAGTATGAGGATCTTTAACAACGAAACACATAAGTATTTTTCTCCTTGCCCCAAGGGATACATCAAATTTAGACGTGGCCTGAGTATGGAATAGCCTTAGAACCACCCCACTTTTACCAGTATTAATATCTTAGAAATTGCTTCAGAGAAATTGGGCACAGAAGGAATCTGGGGACAATTTTTCGAGTGTTTGTCAGCTAATATCTAGGTTCGCTGCAACTTTCATTTCAAGTACACTTGTAAATTTTGCGAAGACAACTTGTAAGGCACTATCAATGAGTGACAGCTGCAGGGAATCAGCCCCAGAGGAGAAAAAAAAACAGTTTTACATAAAGACTTGTTGAAAAAATACGTATTCTGTTAGCATACCGCCTACGACTTGCCTCCCTTCTTTCTCTCTTTACAGAAACTTTTGTACCACCCTGTAGGCCATTAACTTGGCTTTCAACATGGTTAAATCATTGGCTAGAAGGAAATGCGACAACCCGCAGAGAAATCTATTTTGACTATTGTATCTTCTGGGTTTAGATAACTTCCTGACGTTGGCATACGTTTATCTGAGTCTTAGAAAGTTAAGAAGCTGTCATTTACGTGATTGCTATCAGATTTTAATCCTGCATTCCAGAATTCCCCTTGAAGAATCAGAGGAATGCATTGAAGACGTGGATGTGGCGAAGTGAAGAACCTACAAGTAAGTAAAAGTAGTCGTTTCATTTATTAATGATGGTTTTAAAGGGACGTGTGCGGATATTTGAAATTGTATCTAAAACAGAATATACCATAAACCGCGTTAATACACTGCTAGTCATTTATCTTGCAGAATGATTGAATATATTTTACAAAAAAGAGCTTACATCACCTTATAATAAACATCTTCACAAAAATAATAAAAGGAAAAAAGAAAAATACGTTATACTCCAATCGCTTCATTATTATTTACCGAAAATAGTTAACATTTGAACCACTATTAATCATGCTTCACATTCCATCGAAAGGTTTTCATAACGTACATAAATCTTTTTTGCTATAATATCTTAAAGTAACCCAAGTTATCATGCCATCGTTCATTATCTGCTTTAGTAATTAATTTCTGTCACCAAAATGATCAAATTAAACCTTGCAGTATGAATGGGCGTCATGGCACGGCGTTTCTCCATGACAGAGCATCAACTGCCGCTGATAAGATTAAAGACAGTGCGGTTAATGTGGGTGCATCACATGTCGTGACAACGGAGTCAATCATTTCCTTATTTGATGAAATAAATTACAGTACTGGGCAATTGATATTATTTCAGCACTAACATGATTGCTATAAGTTCTTATGCAGTTTGCGACCAATTAGATGCATTTGCATGGCCACTATTAGGTAGTCCCTGTCAATGGGGACAGTGATGCTTTTGAATATTTCAGATTAAAACAAACGCGATGACAATGTCAAGCTTGCACGGTTTTGCGGATTAAGCAAGTGTTTATTTGCAAAGCGCACTGCCGCTTAAATAGCTTACCATGTCGATGATATCGCTTTTCTGCGGATGAAACTCCCATTACAGTGTCAATCAACATCAACTATCTCGACATAATTAAATGCCTTATTGCCTTATTCGACTGTATTACGTTACCAACCAGGCCCGTAACCAGGGGGGTTCTTTCACGCGATTCTCAGAAGTTATCTGAAATTCTGAATATCTGAAGTTATCGGACCGTTTGTGCATGCATGTAGATGGAGCCATCGTAAGATTAGATATTCATAATGTGAAATTCGGTGTGCGTTGAAAAAACAATAACCATTTCCCTTTTTGCTGGGGAAAGGTCCACTCTGGGTAAATTTGATCTAGGTAAACTAAGATTTCATGATAAAAAGGTCCAATTTTCAGAAAAGACCCCTCCCCCTTTTGCAATTGCTTGCTACGGGCCTACTATTGTTGTTAACGGCTCGAAATACACATACCTATAATTGTTGCGTGGGCGGGGCTCCCTGGTTCCAAAATCATGGTAAATAGACTACGATTAACTTTCATTATAAAGAACCCACCTGGTGATAGATGATAGCACTCTACACTTCCGACAATGACTGTACCATCATATGTTAGCTTGCAGTGTCGGTCGCCGCTAATTGCATTTAACAATACTGATTCAATAACAGCACTTGGGTTTAACAAGCATACTCATCAACGATGTCAGAGCAGCTATCATAAATGTTGATATGACAAATGCGCATAGCTATGATGTATTAATGACAATATCTGATACCAGTTGCCTTATTTATGATGGTCTTTGTTATCAGCTAAACTACTTGCCAGAGGTTTATTATAAAGAGGATGTTAGGAAGATAGCATGCGATTCTCTGAAAAGAAGCCGTTTTTTGCATACATGTAGATCTAGGCATCGTAAGATTAGATCTTCTTAATGTGAAATTCAGTGTGCGTTGAAAAAGCAATAACTATTTCTTGGAATCGCGCTCCACAATCGTCTGGGTGATATCAGCTCAGAAAGATTACCTTTGCCCCTGTATACAAGTCTGGTGCTATATTTTTCTGCAAGGCAAACCCGACAGTATTAAGATTTTGCCTTACTTACCGACATTAATTTTGAAGAAATGGGACTTATACACTTACACATTTAAGTCAGGTTACCCAAAATTATGATTTTGGTATCGAAAGCATGCATGGTCTGATAATGATGTTTCTCAGTGGTTTCCCCATCCTTATTACTCCTATAATTCGTACCTGACTGGTAACCAGAGTGTTTCTTTGTGTGTTTTGAGAAAAGCCAGTTCTATTGATTTCAAACGCTGACCTCAGAACCAGAGTCCATTATCAAAGTTTGTTCCTAAAGTGTTTTCCACATCCTAGTTATCGTTATGATAATCTGGTGGTTAGCAAGTGTTTACTCCTTACTTCTGGATGTTTTGAGAAAAGACAACATTGCTCCCAATTGTGAATGTGGTAAGTGTTGAAAAACAAAATTAATTTGATAATGGGCACAATTTCTTCTAACCACACTGGAATTTTCTCAAAATATCCAAGGATACACGCGTGTAACGAGTAGCCGATATGTATGCATTAAATAGCTGTCAAAGATCTAGAAACTAATCAGGAAAACCTTATTTCTCTCCTTTTTTAAAAGCAAAATGCTTATGGCTTTTGTTTGGTAAGTGGTTAAAATTCATAACTGACCCTAGGGTAACTTTATGTCGTTTTTATATGCACAAAAATCTCATAAACTGTGAAGCTGTCACCCTCTCCCTTTCAACCTGCCGAAAACGTAGCTGCTCTGTTCGTTAAACATAATGTTCAAAACGAAGAATTCCGTCCGTGTTTATAGAGAGTGGCTGCTTGTTTACCAAATAATCAGTTTTTTCCTCTCACATTCCTGCTGGTCACAAACTCTCTGTGTCAGGCAAAGAGACACCAGATAGCTGTTTTCTGACGAGACTCGATTTGTTAAGAAGCTATCTCATCAGTAACTGCTCACGTGGACGTTATAGATGTTGTATAGTCTCGTTGTATATTTATTATACCTTTTCAAATTGTGCCAAATTGTGGCAAAATATTAGTAAATCGGTTCCACGTGAATAAATGACAACTCGAGACCATGCGCCGTGAAAACAAAACTGTATTAAACACCGATGTACTAAATCAAGACGCACCGGTTTTGGATACCAGGGAAAGAATGACAGGTGTCATTTTCATCCGTGTCCTTTGCTAAAACCCACGCCTTCCTGTTCCTGAGGCGAGTAATTTACCAACAGAGTCATGCAGTCAATATCAATAAGGCTACACTCTGCGCGTCATTTTCGAATTCTTTTTTTATCAACTCGGCAGGAGATTAGCAACCTTTTCCAAATAAAGATCTGTCAAATCAAAGAGGAATGGTTTCACTCTACTTATCTCCTGTCTATTTGTGATGCAGCTTGCTTATTTTTAGATTATAAAAGTTTACAATAATTGGAGAGATTTAAGACAAGAAAAAATTGTAAGATAAGCCAATCTCGTGTCAGTTTTATTGATTTTATAGATGAGTTTCAGCTAGACAGCATATCAAGTTTTTTGTTCTGTGGCAAAGTGTAGTGATGCGATTTGCTCGGTTGGGAAGAAAAGTTTATTCCTGCAACTATTGGATAAACGATTTGGTTTCATTGTTTAGAATGAACTGCTGTACTGCATCTGAGAGGCATTTGGGCGGTTTTGTGTTTAAATTAAATAACTCAAACATAACCTCAATGTGTTATGTCTATATCACCAGCTGTATATGACAAGCATTGTGATTTTAAAAGTGATGGAAGAAAATCTGGAAAATTCAATAGTTCAATTGGGAGATGCACATCCAGGGAGCGTAATCGAAAGTGAATGTGTTCAATGCATCTAATTGATACAATATCTTGTCCCGATGTTTCTTAGCTTTTTTTATTTTGCATGTTGACGAACTTACTCACGTATGCCCTTTGGGATGTGAAATGCCCTCATTGTGTATCGGTATTGATCTTATGAGACACAGACTGCAACGATATTTGACTAGAATCTGATACGGGGAAAGGTATAACGTAGGCTAAATGCACAAACTAGCTCGGGACCTGGTTTACTGAGATGTCTTCCGCGTGTAATCGCATAGCAATTATCTGGTTCAATTAAACAAGCACTTGGTCCTTTTGGCCATCTTTAACGATATAAAAATAAAGCAAGAGACGTGTTCTAAAAAAGCTGGGTCTCGGATTAAATGTATAAGCCATGAGTAATGGAAGTCGCATACTGTCTCCTAAACAATTCATGTTTTTGCCCTAAAGGATTTTTTAGCGTCGAGTACAATTTAACTTTACTGTCAGCATTAAGTGTATCCCAATTCCCAAGAGATCTCTTGTTTGGTAAGTGCCACTCTTTCCTGAAAATATCATTTCGGCGTTCGTTGTTGATTGAGCTTTTTAGGGTATTGCACACCTTAGATGGAAGACTCTTGTATAAACTTAAAAAAGCTTTTAGATTGGTATCGATTATTATTGTTTAAATGCGAAGTTGGTTTATTGTCTTTTGATGAATGGTCGACAATATTTCATATCGAATTTAAAGTAAGTGCACGTCAAAATGGTGTATCAGTTCATAAAGAGAACAAAGTTCTGTCGACTCATGTTACAGGAGGGGCGATTAATCACAGCCTGGAAAAAGTTTGAGCTAAGTTTGTAGCCTCTCTTGTTTGACCGTTCTGTCTTCGTACATTTATATATGCAGTCATGTTGTGCCTTCAAATGTTGTACGTTTGACCGACATTCATATTATGGTGCTGCTCTTTGACAATACAAGCAACTTTTGAACTTTTGGCGCTCTCTTGATATTGAACTCTTGCCTCCATCAATCAAACTTATCCGTCGGTCTATTGAACGTTGCTCCTTATACACAGGCACATAGAATTAGATGAAATATGTCATCACACTGACGTAGAAGGAAACAAGGCCTGGGTGAACTCCCATTTTACTGGTATACAAAGAATATGCGTATACTGGACCCAAGGCCTGGGTGAACTCCCATTTTACTGGTATACAAAGAATATGCGTATACTGGACCCAAGGCCTGGGTGAACTCCCATTTTACTGGTATACAAAGAATATGCGTATACTGGACCCAAGGCCTGGGTGAACTCCCATTTTACTGGTATACAAAGAATATGCGTATACTGGACCCAAGGCCTGGGTGAACTCCC